ACATCACCACTCGATTAAAACGAGGTTTATGTAGTTCTCAAATTGGCATCGCCTGCGACTGCAACTAAAATCGCTTGTAACGAGTTAAGCATAGAAACAAAATTTTCATTAGGGACATATATACAGAAGCTGTGATTAAAACCCAATAAAAGAACTTTGTTGACAGTTACGACATAGGTGGCTAGACAGACATTTCGAGTATTGTACTTTTTTGAACAGTTTTTTTTTGTGATGTTTTCTTAGATCTTCTTTTTCTTAAAATAACTTTTGTGCTATTTTAGAACACGCAGAATGCTTAGTTCTTCAATTCGGACGCTTTAAGCGTTTTGGATGCTACTTTAGAGGCCTTCGATAGTACTCGTAACGCACAAATCCTAAAGTCCTTGAAGTGTTATGGCTTTGTTCCATGTTTCACCATCTTTCAGCTGAGTTTCAAGCAAGTGTGTGTATCTGCTGAGGCATTTGTCATTGCTAAAAAGTTGATTAATCTTTTTGTCGGTAAAAACAGTTATGAATCTTCAAAGTCTGACTTTTAGTACGTCACACTGACCATTTTGAAACACCTACTTACTTTATTTTAAGATGTTGTTTTCCAAACAGATTTGGTCGTCAACTCTGCTTTCACATTCTGGTTTTTCATGTCTTAGACCTGATTTGAGTATCTGAACACTAAGTTCTTTCTTAAATAATAAGTGACCTTAATTTACAAAAGCTTTTGAAAGAAAATTGGGAGAACTTATAGGTATGATAAAGCTTATCAAATTATTTAGCTTCTTTATGTCTTCTGCAGAATGGGAGGAAAGATAAGGGAAAGGGAAGGAGTAAGCATTTGGAAAGACTATGAATGTCCCCTATAAAGGAGAGGTGAAAAAAAAGAAAAAATTCTTTCTTTACAAAACAAGAAAACAGCTTGCAAATTAGTTTTTTGTTATGTTTAGAGTATTAAATGAGAAAAACTATTAAAGTTCGCTGGTATTGTATTCAACTTTTCAGGAACAGACAGAAAATGTCCTTGCAGTGTATTTAAAGCGATGGCAGTTTTAGCGTTGCTATTTGACCACACAAAGACTGCGTTGTTCATTTTGATTGGAAAATTAGGAGTTAAAAAGAAAAGGATACCACTTCAAAACGAAATGAAGTAGACAGGGGTACCTTTATTTTCTTTAAAAACTTTTAATATGTACATATTTAAGAATGCTGCTTAACCTTTGAAATGAGTGATTTCAAAATAGATATTTCCTCACATAGCAATTGTTTCTCATATTCAGTTTTGCCTCACTGTAAACGCCAGTCTTCCTTTAATCTTTCCTTATTAGTTCACTACTATTTTTTCCAGATTTTGTAAATATTTTTCGAAGACATTTGGGTTACGCTGTAAGTAATGACCGAGAAAATTGCTTTTATCTAAGTGGACTTCTTTGATATAGATCTAAAAAGTCAAAGCAAACTATATAATAAACGGGTGCGCTTGATAATATTAGGAACCTTAACCGATGTATTAATTATTGTCGTTTCACTAAGCTGTAGTAATATAAACGAAGAGAGTAGACAAATCGCAGTTGTTTGTTAGCCGGAGAAAAAGAAGTTCTAGAACGTCGATGATTAAGTTTCACGAATGATGTGGGGCCTGTAATACGGGTCGGCGGCTTTCGATATCTCCCTCGCATACATATCTAGTCGTTGGGTCATCTAAATATGTGTTATGAAATAACTTGGAGTAAGTGTTCGTTCAGCAATTTTTGGGTGTAGTGCGTATAATGGCCTAAACTCAATAAACAAAAATATAGTATGCATTTTGAATATTTAAGATCTGTTTTTAATAATGAAAGCTTATATTGCAAATTTAAAAAAAATGAAAAAATAGTAAATAATAACTCTAAATCCCCAAGCATCTTTTGTCTGTCGGTTTAAATTCAGATCGATTTCAGTTATTAGCACTCCGTCTCGAGTGCGTGAAAGGCCCTGAAGTAGAAAGATTTAATACTTTATCGGGAAAATTGGATAGCGGTAACTGTATGATGAAAAATATTAGGTGTTCTTACTGGAGTTCGGCATCCATCTGGTGCTGCAACATATGTACTTCCAAAGAAGTGTCCGAAATCTTTGTGAGCTGAAAAAAATATTAAAATTTGAATCTGCTTTCAGTGATTTTTTTTTTGAACTTGAAGGTTTTAATAGATTTTTAGTCGCTGACCTGGTTTTTTATCTCCGCTAGTAAATTCGTGTTCGAAAATCTCTGTGCCCACACGATTTATGGCTACAGTATAAACATGGTTAGCTATTGCAGCGTTTCTTGCCTCAATTCTCCACAAAGGTTCACTGAAAACTACCAAAAGAATTTAATGAAAAAAATTCTAAGTGCAGCAGTGGTGCACTTCT